AGCCCATACTTAATGTGTGGGAAGTTATTCTCCACCTCCTTGAGGGCAGAGTAGCTACATAAATTATTTGGAATTCTTCTGCAATAATTCACTTATTCATATCTGTATGGACTCATGGATATTTATTTTATACTTTGGGTTACATTATTTATTTTGTTGTTCAAATTTTTCCATTGGAAGCTCTTTTAGTTGGCTTCTGTGTCCCTTTGACATATCCCCATCATTGTGTTCTTTTTGAGCACTTCCTTCCTTTCTGGCACTAGAATATATTCCAGCTCATTTTGTATATTCCCTACTTGTGCTCCAGAATCAGCCATTTTCTCCATGGAGCACCTGGTTCCTTTTACTGAGGAATGGTATCAGAAACCAAGATCTGGGTGCTAGGTCTATTGTTGCTACTGGGGTGTCATTGTTTCTAAGCCCCTCTCAGCTGACAGAACAAGGAGATATATGTTTCTGTTAACATGTGTATTTACATACATATTTATAAATATTCCTACATGTATCCATTTGTGTCTATATTGAGCTAAACATGAATTCATATTGTCTCCAACTCTCATCCATTACCACATGGATCATTCTGGCCTCTTCCTCTAGCTTGTCTGTAACCTCCTCCAACAGTGAGAAACCATCTGCCATCCATTTACTTAATTGTTCAATTCCAGTATGTCCATGTGTGGTGATTTCACAATTATTAGCCCATACCCCTATGGGTTAAAAATTCAGCCTTATGTGTGGTTCCTTTTATCTTTAGTCTTACAGTCTCCACTCATTTCCAAAGTTACATTCCAAAGTTCCAAAGTTAGGATGTTTCCCTTACAACCTCTTCAGTGAGGTCATTTAATACATTTGTAATACTGTTAGATTTTTTCTTTTTTTTTTATCACGGTCTGCCTTCTATCCTGGAATCTCCTGACCTACTATGTGATGTTTTAAAAATTTGTATGCATTTAAGTCCATTCCGTGCTATTAAGTTCTGTGGGCTTTGACACACACATACTGACATGTATCCACTACTGCTGTATTATACAGAATAGTTTCACTATCCTGAAAAAGTGCTTCACTTGTGTAACCCTCCCCTCCCCAAACCCACTGATCTGTTTATTGTCTCTGTAGTTTTGCCTTTTTGAAAAGGTCATATAAATGGAATCATACAGTATGTAATCTGTGATGGTTAATTTTGTGTCAACTTGAGTGGGTTAATGGGCACCCAGTGATATGGTTTTCATTGTTGGCCCCTCCAAATCTCATGCTGAAATTTGATCCCCAGTGTTGAATGTGGGTCCTGGTGGAAGTTGTTTAGGTCATGAGGGCACCAATCCTCATGAAAGGATTGAGTTCTCAATTGGCTTTATTGGTTCATGGGAGCACTGGTTGTTTAAAAGGGCCTGGCACCACCTCCTCCCTCTCTTGCTCCCTCTTTTGCCCTGTGACATGCCTACACGCCCTTTGCCTTCTGCCTGATTGGAAGTTCCCTTAAGCCCTCACCAGAAGCAGATGCTGGCACAGTGTTTCTTGTGCAGTCTGCAGAATGGTAAGCCAAATAAGACTCTTCTCTTTATAAATTACCCAGTCTCAGGTATTCCTTCATAGCAGTGTGAAACGTACTAATGCAACCAGATAGCTGGTAAACATTATTTCTAGGTGTGTCTGTGAGGGTGTTTCTGGAAGAAGTTAGCATTTGAATTGTAGACCAAGTAAGGAATCTCTGCCCTCACCTGTGTAGGCAGGCTTCAATCCACCAAAGGCCTGACTAAATCAACAGGATAGAGAAAGGGCAAATTTATTCCCTGTTTGAGCTGGGAAATATGTCTTCTCCTAACCTCAGACATTGATGTTTCTAGTTCTTGAGACTTAATCTTTGAACTGAATTACACCACCAGCCTTCCTGGTTCTCCAGCTTGCAGATGGCAAATTTTGGAACTTCTCAACTTCAATTGTGTGAGCCAATTCCTGTATTGAAAATCAATCTCTCTGTCTCTCTCTCTTTCTCAACACAGTCATTCTTGGTATTCATGGGGATTTTGTTTCAGGACGCTGTGGATACCAAAATCTGAGGGTCCTGAGGACTGAACTCTGATTTTTTTTTCTTTTGCTAAAAACTCCTTCCTAAGGAGGCCAGCTGGGTCAGGTTGACAAATGGTAAATTCCCACTAAGCGGCTTTTGTTAACCAAATGAAGCAGTGGTTTACTTCCCAACCTGATTCTGGTATGGCATTTAACGTCACCTAAAAAATAAGAAGCCCCTGTCTTAACTCAAGCATCCTAGCAAATGCCTATCATAAATTTAAAATGTCTTAACTCAAGCATCCTAGCAGATGCCTATTCTTAAATTTAAAGCATCTTAAAACATCCTAGAAGGCGCCTATTGTAAATTTAAAATGTCCTCCTGTCTGGACCTCCCAGGGTGCTCACACCCTTATCTTAAAATAAACATATCCTTTCTGGTCTTCTAGATAAAGTCTAACTCTCTTAGCCAATTGCCAGCCAAAGAATCTTTAAGCCCACCTATAACCTGTAAGCCCCCCCCCCCTTAGAGATGTCCCACCTTTTTGGGCCAAACCAATGTATGCCTCTCATGTATTGATTTGTGATTGCCTGTAACCCTTGTCTATCTGAAAATGTATGAAACTGAGCTGTAACCCAGCCACAGCGAGCCCACTTGCTGAAGGCTTCTTGAAAGTGGCTCTGGGTCATGTTCCTCAAATTTGGCTTAGAATAAACTTTTTTCAGATATTTCAGGGCTTGGATTTTTCCGTCCACAGTTCTCAAGTTTCTTATATAAAATGACATAATATCTGCGTATAACCTATGCACATCCTCCTGTATACTTTAAATAATCTCTAGATTATTTATACTATCTAATACAATGTAAATGCTATGTAAATGGTTGTTATGTTTTAGGGAAGAAAAAAGTCAGTACATTTTCGGAATTTTTTTTTTCGAATATTTTCAATCCTCAGTGGGTTAAATCCATGGATGTAGAATTTACGGGTATGGAAGACAGACTGTTTGTATTGGCTCTGTTTCATTGAAGAACCCTAACTAATAATAGTTCCTGGCCTACTTTTTAGGGTGTGGTTGTAATAGCAATATAGATTTCAAAGCCTATGCAGAGCTATTCTGGACTTTGTTCACCTAGTACCCCCAAGGCTCCTGCTTGATTCTGCTGATCCTGCCTGCAGGGTGGAACGTACTTTCTCAGGTCTGGTCCTGCCAGTTGAAGTGTGGGAGATGCTAAGCCGTGTGTCAGTAAATGTTTCCCTACCCCTGCCCTCTGGGCTGGCCAGTGCCAGCCAGGCTCTTGCTTGATCCTTACTGGTATTGCTTGGTGGGGTGGGGAGGTAGAATGTGCTTTTTGCACTCCCTAGTGCTAGGTGATGGGGGGAGAATGCTGGGCCCATGGAACAGAGGGTGTTTCCTAGGGCCTGGTCTCTAGGTCACCTGTTGCCTATGAGCTTCTTTCTTATTGCATCTTGGCTATTGTTGCTGAGGTGGGAGACATCTACCTGGACTGCCTTCTACCACTGGTGTTGGAGGGGAAGAGTCAAGGAATAGTAGGAATGGATCATCCTATAAGTCAGGAATCTGGGCATGGCTTAGCTGAATCTTCTGTTTCTGGATCTCTCACAAGGCTGTAATCAAAGTGTTGGCTGGCATTGAGGTGTCATCTGAAGACTCTCCTGTAAAAAGATCTTCCAAGCTCATTTATGTGGTTGGTAGCAGTATTCAGCTCCTTGAAGGTTGTTGAACTGAGGGCTTCAGTTCCTTTCTGGCTATTGGCTAGAGGCTGCCCTCTGTTCTTTGCTGTAAGGACCTCTCCAACATGGCAACTTGTTACATCCAAGGCAGCAAGCAAGAAAATCTACTAGTAAGACAGAAGTCACAATCTTCTGTAACCTAATCCTGGAAGTGGCATCTCATCACCTCTGTCATATTCTCTTGATTGGAAGCAAATCTCTACATTCAGCTCACACTCAAGTTGAGGGATTAGAGGAAGCAGATTATGCAAGGACATGGATATCAAAATGGGATCATTAAGAGCCATCATAGTCTGCCTCCTATAGTCATTATCAGTATTCCTTATAATTTTACTGTTTTCACGGTCAATAGTACTTATCATTTATAGAATACTTACAAAACTTCAGTTTTTCTCCCATAAAAGGACATTAAAATAATAACTGTGATTTTAGAACCTCCAGTTCTTATAATTATGTTATAATATCTCACCAAATTTATGAAAACATAATCAACATGACTACATATTCTTATGGAGGTGGTTGCTCTTTTTTGTGAACCACCATAGCATTTTAGCCATGTCTTCCTTGTGATTTTGGACACTTTTAAAATTGCAAAAGAAATATTTATGAATAATCTTATCTCCCTTGCTAGACTGCAGGCTCCTTGAGGAAGAATTATGTTTTTAATATTTTTCCATTTCTGATTGCACCCAGAAGAGTCCATTTACCATGAAGTTCAGTAAATATCTCTTTTTTAAAAAATTCCCATACCATTTTAAAATATGAACTTAGTATCTCTCTTTGTAACAATAAAAATAAGATACATATTTGGTACAATAGCTATTTTTAAAAAAACATCCCCATAGCATTTAAAAATATGAACTCAACATCTCTCTTTGTAACAATATAAGTAAGATATACATTTGGTACAATGTAACAATAAAAGTGAGATACATATTTGGTACAATGTCTCTAAAGTCAATCATATACTAAACAGACTGAATACAAAGGAGGAAATTAATCACAAGCAATATATATGCTAACACTGGAAAACATAGCAAATATCTGATGGGAAGTGAGTTGATGAATATTAAATTTTTTCCCTTGCACATATTCCTTTGACATTATATGTCTGTATATCCATCTATATTTTCTGAACTACAGTCTGCATGTGTTTCTTCATAAAAAATCACTTTATGACTCAAAGTATTTCCACATTATTTATAGTACATATATAAAAACATTCCATTACATAAGCAATAACATTAAATTATATCCATTTATTGTTTATTCAGCATAGGTAGAATTAGATGGTTCAAAATTACAAAGAGAAAAATAATTTGGAAGATTTTACAATTTTGTAAGTTTCTAAAAATGCTGAAAATTTTATAAATTTTATATTTGAGGAATTATTGTGATTCACTAGTTAATCCTAAACCTAATGGTATAACTATCAAATTCTTTCTGACTTCCATTCTATCTTAATATGTTTAATTTGTGAAGGGGTTCTAAACTTTGGATCCCAATTGTATTCTGGTGATAACAGCTTAGTGGGTTTATTGACAAAAAAATATTTGTTTAGGTGGCTTTCATATAGACTTTTAAGGTCATTTGTGTTGTCCTTAATCATTCCATTCTGACATTCTCTAATGCAGTTTAAAACCTCGTGGGGCATGCCACCAAGAATTGCACCATGGTAATAGAAATCTCCTTGTCCAAGGGGGATGAAAGCTGCTGATGTAGATCTTCTCTCATAAGGGAAATCTTTAGAATTTTTAAAATACCACCATGCATGGAGTTGAGCTACAGAGCTGCCCAGGGTTTCTACTCCAAAGTCACTTTTGAAGATCTGGTTTACAGCCATAGTAAAGAGAAAGTCGACTTCATGCTGGATGTAGGCTATGATGTTCACATTTAAGTTCATCATGTATATGAGATGAAAGTCTTGATCCAAAGATGTACGATCTTTGAATACAGCAAACATTTTACATGTTCGAAGGGGACCTAACTCTATGTAAGGTAGCTTTCTGAAGTCATCCACCATGATGTAAAAGATAACATTGTAGCCAATCATAAAGTGCTTATTAGCAGATTGTATGAACTGTTTCAGGTACTGATCTATAAATCTGTGAAACATAAAAAAAACAGAAAAAATTATTTTGCTAAAAACTTTCAGGAAAATGCATGCCATTTAAACACACTAACATATGTGTTAATAATGCTAAAGAAGGTAAGCGTAAAGAAGTTGGGTCTATAGCTTCAATTGTATTGGTTAGTGAAAGAGAATGTATTAAGTTTGGGGACCTGAAAAAAAACCATAAAGTTTGTTGCGAAAAAAGAGAAAAAGAGCTAAATGGATATTAATGAAAAGATTCCCAAGTGGTGTTAAGAACTCAGCCCAAACTGGAGAAAATAACCACTATAAATAATGATACAGAATAGTCAAACATAATGATTATGGTTAATTATGAGTAGTTCTTTGATTGCTGAAAGTCCATGGGTGCTTATACATATTTTTCAAAATAAAAAAGGATGAATATTAGTAACACCTACTTTCCAGTAGCAAATACAGCCAAGCCTATGGTAATATTCAGCTTCTTGTAATATTTTTCCAGGGCATGTCTATTGTAAGTTCCTTCCCATATGATTGGAGCAAGCCAGTCAGTTCTTGCTATAACATCAGGTCGTTTTCTGTTGAACAAATAAGAAACAAATTAAGCAAATATCACTTTATTTTGACAGCACAAGTTGTCCAAGTGACAGTGGCTAGTGATTATAGAGTACTTACTGTGTGAGAGGCACTGTGTTTAAGTGCTGATATATAATTAATTTAATTCTGGCAATGTCCTATAAGGTAAGTACTATTATTATCCTTATGTTTCATATGAAGAAACTTAGGCACAGATTGGTTGAGTAAATTGCTTTGTATTACACAGTTAATAAACGGCAGAGTCAGAATTCAAGATCCAAATAGTCTGGCTTCAGAGTATATGCTTTAGTTATCATACCATACTGTCTTTTGAGCCAGGGATTATTTTCTTTGAGCTCTGACTGCAGATTAAACCTAGGTAGCCCAATATCTGAACATTTCTCTGATTATTGCCTAAAATTGATAGTATCAATGTCTTTTTATATGTGTTCTTGTTTATCCTGTTTCTCATTTTTCTTTTTTTCTTTCCTCTTTTCCCGGAAGATCTAGAATACTACTCTCTTCACCTTTTCCCTAATGTTTTACCCATTGATGCAACCAGGATGGAAATATCAGTGCCAAAAGGGAGAAAAACATTAGATTTGCTTCTAATAATAACAACAAAATGTACAGCAGAAGTAGCAACATTAATAATAATGAATAGTTTGGCTAGAATCAAGGCATTAAACTATTAAAGCAAATTAAGAACTTCATTTTGGAAGAAGTCAAATACAAAGTGAGAAGACATTTTGCCATTGGTGATTGCAAGTTTTAATTACAAATCCATATCCAGACAAGGGTAGGATTTGGCAACCCTTAATTGTATATTAATAATAGTCATAATAATAACAATATAAGAAGTCCTCCAAAAGTGTTCCCTCTTACTGTGTTAGGGATTCTTTGACTTATACATTTATATATATATATATATATATATTTTTTTTTGCACTTTATCTTTTTTTAATTTATTTCAGCATATTATGGGGGTACAAATGTTAAGGTTACGTATATTGCCCATGCCCCACCCACCTGCCCGACATGCACTTTATCTTTTTTTTTTTTTCATTTTGGCATATTATGGGGGTACAGATTTTAAGGTTTCAATAAATGCCCATTTCTCCCCCTCCTCCCACAAGTCTGAGTCTCCATCATGACCATCCCCCAGATGGTGCACATCTCACTCATTATGTATGTATATACCCGCCCCCCTCCCCCCTGCCCAATACCCTATTACTGTAGTACCTATGTGACCACTTAGGTGCTGTTCAGTTAATACCAATTTGCTGGTGAGTGTATGTGGTGCTTGTTTTTCCATTCTTGGGAAACTTCACTTAATAGTATGGGTTCCAGCTCTAACCAGGAAAATATAAGATGTGCTATGTCACCATTGTTTCTTAGAGCTGAATACATTTATATATTTTTAATATAGTTATTTTAAAACCTTCTCTATACTTAGAATTTATAGTCAAATACTTCTATTTGACTCGCAAATCTCAAAATCTATCTTAAAATTGACCAGATGTATTCTTGTCACAGTAATGATGTTTATAAATTAGTCATGCTGCAGATACAAATCACTATCTATTGGATAAGATGAAAGGGTTTGAAGATTATCCCTCTTTCCTCATAAGATTAAAGGTTTGTTGCCAGAATGAAAGAAAAAGAGTCTCTGAAAGCCAAAGGCCATTTAAAACCTGTGTCTAGAAATTATTTAATAAAAGACAAGAGGAAAAAGTAAGAGATTAGATTTATATTATAAACATGAAACTTTTCACTTGAGAGATAAATACTGGGCAGAGGGCATCCTCTACAAAGAAGGCTGTCAGTAATCAGGTGGACAAGATGACCCATCCCCCTGGATGTCAGCCAGACACCTTCCCTAGTCACCCTGTTGCTGGCTTAGTGAGCCTATGCACAAAGTGGCCCCTGCTACAGGAATGGAGATTATGTATGAGCTCAGGTCATCCCTTTACTAAGGTTGAGTTATAAGCCAGTGTTGAGTGCCCAACCTGCCAACAGCAGAAGCCAACTGTGAGCCCGCAATATGACATGATTTCCCAGGGTGACCATCCATCCATCTGAGAGCTGGTTTATGAAGGGGACAGCACCTTTTCCTTAGGGGAAATAGTTCCATGTTATGAGTATGGATTTGCTTTCCTTGTCTACAAATCTGCCAGCTTTGTTGACTTGCAGAATATCTTATTCTTTGCCATGGGTATCACACACAACATTGCCTCACCCAAGGTATGTACTTTATGGTGAAGGTAGTGTGGCAATTGGCTCACTTCCATAAAGTCCTCTGATCTTACTATGTGTCTCACTGTCCAGAGGCAGCTGGCCTGGTAGAAAGTGGAATGGCCAGCAAAAGTCTCCATTTCATTGCTAGTTCAGAGACAATTCCCTGAAAGGTTGACGTACGGTCCTATAGAGTGCCATCCATTCTTTGAATCAGTGACCAATATGAGATACATTTTCTTACAAAGCTAAAATACCTGGTCTATTAAAAGCAAAGTGGTTGTGGGAATGTTCCTGCTCACTATTACATCTAATAACTCACTTATGGAATGTTTGCTTGCCATTGTTAATGACCTTGGGTTCTGTGTGTTTGGAGTTCCTAGTTTCTAAGGAAGGAATCCTTCTTTTGGGAATAAGATCATGGTTCTATGAAACTAATAGTAGGTCATTTGAGGTTCTCCATGCTGCTGAACTAATAGGCAGAAATAGTGTTACTGTATTGGCTGGGGCAACTGGTCCTCATCACCAAGGAGACATTAAGTTTCTGCTACACAATGTTGGCAAGGAGGGCTACATGTAGAACCCAGGGAATTCTCTGGGATGCTCCTTAGTCCTCTCATTTCCAGTAATAATGATCAATGGGAAATGATGTCAACTCAATAATAAGCTAGGGCCACTAAAGAACTCAGAGTCTTTAGGGATGGAGGTTTGGGTCACCCTACCAAATAGGGACTGTGGCCATCAAAGGTATTAGCAGAGGATAAGGAAACCATGAAACAGTGATTATTAACTATCTTCTTTTATTATCAACCTCCTGAACAGGTACAGAGATGGGGCTATAGCAGTGATTTATTAAATTATTTTCTCCCCTTTCCCTGCTACCTCATATGAAGAGTACTGGAGGTGGCTAATGTTACAATTTAGGTTCCAGTGGGATTATGACTGAATTGTCATCACCTCATGACGATACAATAGATTATGGGAGTTTGTGTTTCTCCTGTTTTGGGACCATGAGCTTCTTTATCTAAGTGAAGGTTGAGAAATGATGCTGAATGGGAAAAGAGGTGAATTGTGCTAGTTATTCTCCATTTACTTCCCCATCTACCTTCAGCCCTTCTTTGCCAGGCTGTATATCCTTTGATTTATGGCTTCCAGTGGGTTCTGCTAATGGGAGGCACCAACATATGATCATAGGACAGGAAGATAGACAGGTCGAATTATCTATTTTCCTCCTCTCCCTCCAGTTTTGTGAGACCTTGACAGTGGTTGTGTGCTTTTGTGACTACAACTTCTGTTGAGTGGCTCTTTCATGGATCTAGCAATCTCTGTTCTCTGGTAATACCATTCTTTTCCTTGCCTCTTTAGGCCCAGGGGCGACCACAGCTTGCTATTGGTGTAAGCCCCTGAGTGCCTCCAAGGTCTTTAAACCTTGCCCAAATCTCTGCAAACAATCTCATTATTGAAGTTACTGCAGCTCAATTGGGTTTTCTTCTTACACTCCAACAGATTCAGTATCTGAGCAGGTTAGAAAACATCACACGAGACATGAGCAGTTGGTATTCAGTAGTATACAAGGTGATCTGATCATGAGGTATAATATTTGCAATGAAAGTTTCCAGAAAGAAAGTGTACAGATAAAATGCTAAGTTTCATAGTACTGTACTATAGAGTATGATAGATGTGATATAGAAAGAAGCATAATGATAAAGGAGGTAAATGGTATATATAGCCTAAGATATCCACATTCTCAGTTGGGAGAACATGGGTATTAAAATGAATTTGAGGGACTTGGGGAAAATGGCGGAGTAAAGGTAACCCCCTGGACTCCTGCTCTCAGAGAAGGAGACACAGATCTTGGTCTCCTACACGCGAGTGGATCTCCCCACTACAAGGACAGCATCGAGAATCCACAGAGGTTCAGCGTGGACTCTCATAAAAGGAAAAACAAGGTGATCAGGAGATAAGATCATGTTCTCTGGAGAGTGCAAAGCAAACAATAGGGCACGTGGAAGGGCGCCAGACTGCTAGGCCAGGGGGTGAAGTGGGATCAGACCCACAGGAGAACTCCTTTGACCTCCACACTCACTCAGCCAGGGAGCTGTCTGAAACTTGTGCAAAATCATGGCAGGAGAAGAGGGTGCTGGAGAGTGTGGTTAATGGTGGAAAACAACGTGAACTCCCCTGAACCCTGTGCTAGGATGGCTCCAAGACAAGAGGAAACTGAACTGAGCTGATGGGGAGGCAGTTAGATGTCTTGCTTCTGGTAACCAGCGGGACTAAGCCGGGGGCTTTAAGCTGGAACTGCCCCGGGTGAGTAAGACTGCACAGGGTGGGTCAGTAAGATCGAGGGCTATGGCTAAACTGGCGGTCGGGCAGGTGGCATAGAAGAGGCTACCGGTCATCCTGTTGACCCAGGCTCCCAACCCGGCACCTGCCGCACCCTAAACAGTTGCCCCCAATACTGGTGCCCTGCGAGTGGACAAGCCGTCGCCACTGAGGGGGTCCACAGCCCAGCCGTCATACAGTGTGGCAGGCAAGCCTTCTCCCCACCCAGCCTAGAGTCTCTCCTGGCAAATCCCGCTCCTACACAATCTGCGATAGGCTTGCCAGGCCTGGCTTCATCAACAAACTACTGAGAAGTCTAACAGCCAAGGGAAGTTACAGCCACTAGGGCGCCGGGGTGTAGGGCAGACTGGGGAGATACTTCCTCTCCCCAGCCCGCATCTCTCTTGCCGAAAGTGGTAGGCTCCACCCCTGGAAGTGGGAC